TTTGATGAATCAGTGATCAGACAATAAATTTAGTGTTAAAATGGTAAATTGGGAGAAGCTTCCTGCTTGATTGAGGCAGCATAAGTAATTTACTGTATGAGGGAAATTGTCTTTTGTGATACTATTTTGAACATGCTTTTCTGTCGTCCTGTCAACTTAGTGGGTTAATAGCTGATATGCAAATTAGTTGATTGGTTTTAGATTAATGAAAGGTGACTGAATTCTAGCACGAGTGAATGAGATGTGTTGGAGTTTGTTGTGTGTTGAGTAGAGACTCTAAAACACTGAGTTTCCTGCTTTGATGTGCGAGTGATTCCTGTATTTAGATACACAACTCTGAATACGTCAGAACAAACGTCTTTTGTGAAGTGCATGACAGCATGTCACATGTTTTATGATGAAGGAAAAAGGTAAATTGAATAAAATAGATCTGTGACCTAAATGAGTGAAGAGCACAGACCTGGGGATTAAACTCATAGCTAATAAGGCATTAAGGTTATGTTGTTTTGTGCAGCTGATGGTTGATTTGGAGTGAATCTAGCTGATGATTTTTCTTCTTCTGTTGTGAAGTCGAGCCTGCCGATTAGTATGATGGTATGATAAACCATGCTAATGGTATGATTTACCCTCCTGAGATGAGGAGTTTGTGTCATGACTTAACAAGGCCTTTTTATTTTGATACTTTCACAGTGCACTGAAAGTTTTGTTTGATAATCTCTGTTCTTTAAGCAGATCTGCACGTCGGGAATTAAAAGCGCTACACGTCGTCGAGAAAATTGTGCCAAGTGAGTTCTCCACATTTAAATGGACTCTGGAGAAAGCCACTTATTTGGGACAATTATTAAATGACAGTCCCAGTCCAAAAGGATTCAGCGATGTAATCCAAACTAAAGTTCTTCTTTTTCTTTTTGAAATGACGTCATTTTGCTGAGAGTGGAAACTAAATGCGACGATAGGTTCCACTATCAGCAAAGAAAGAAAGAATGAATGCATGAATGAGTGAGTGAAAGGAAAACAAAACTGACTGACTGGTAAAAGCTGACAAAAGCTGACAAGACTTTACTGATGTAACACGACTGTGTGAAGTTGACCCCCGCCTGGCAGGGGTGCAGATGAGTCTGTGTGTGCTTCCCTTTACAGAAGCAGAAAGATGACAGCAACACTCGAGGTTGCGTGATGATTTAACATTTTAAATGCCATTTTCTGTGTCTGTGAATTTACTATGTGTGTGTCATTCACTAGCTTGTGTGCTCACAGAGATAACTGTGACAAAGTATGCATACGCCTGCGCAAGCGCTAACATTTGCATTTTTGTTTTTACAGCATTACGGTTCTTCATGTGTTTGATCATGTGATTTATAGGAATACTGGCTAATGTTTCTCTACTACAAGATTTCTGGGTTTATGTGTGAAGAAAACTGTAGTTACAGGCTATATGTTGATGGAGAAATTAATATAGTTTGAGACATACTGTGATGAGACCAGTGTTACTTTTTCCACAGCGAGTGTTAACTTTATGGTGTTTTATGGCACCTCTGGAATGTGGATGGCCGACGCCTGCCCACCAGGATGGTCAATGTGTATTGCTAATGTTTGTTTTTCTGAGACTGCATTTAGAAGATTCAGCTGAAGCGGACAAGTGACATGAGTAAAACAAATAAGAGATTACGGTAATTATGGAATAGTTTATTATGGGCTCATTTGCTGGCCACTTTTGAACCCATAATAATAATATATGAGTGGAGTGACTTTGCTTAAGAGAAGCCACTGATTACATTAATGTTAACAGAGTACATGGGATAATCCATGTCCGAGGTGAATTAGGGTAATAGTTGTAGTTACTGATTTGAGAAAACCTGCACATGACACTTGTCTTGCTGATGTTGAATGCTTATTACTCTTATGATACAATTGTTTACAGGTATGAAGTTTGATTTCACTTCCAGATTTTGCTTTCCAGGCCGTGATGGTGTGTATACAGGCTCCTGGGAGAGCCAGGTGTTAAGCAAACTTAATATGCAACGCACGCTAACATCTTTTATTGCAGGGTTACGGAGCTACTCCGGAGGAGGTGCCCTGATGTTGCCTGGGACATGTTCTAGCTAATCTTTTTCTTTAAGACAGGGATCCAGGTTTGGTGAGTTGACGCATGGGAATGTCCATGCGTCAAGAGGTGGAGTGCAAGGATTAACATTAAACAATGTTTACTATTATTGTTGCAGTGATTTGTGTGATTAGCTGTTTATTTACAAGTATTAAACCTATGCAAGTGGTGCATCCATGTTCAGATGAGGCTTTGATGGCCTATAAGTGAAGTTCACTGAACTAAAGAATGTGGTTTGATGATTGTTGACATGCTCTCCAAATAGAAGTTTTTCTTCTTAGCAAGGAAATACAGGTGCAGCAGTAATCTCCTGAGAAATCTTCAGAGGCCCAGTGAGAAGCGTGAACCATTCCAGGCATAGCCGACAGCCAGGCAGTGGTTGAGGTCAAAGGTCAAGCTGGTTGGGGCCCATCATGAGATCAGACCTTGGAGCCACAGCAAGGACCATGAAACTGCCTGCAAAATAGAGGAGAGGATCGTCCACAAGATGGGAGCTGAGGCCAGGAGAGAGGCTTCAGGAGGATCAGAGATCATCTTCAGCACAGCAGACATCACACAGAGAGCTGTGCTACTGAGCTTCCAGGAGATTTTAAATAAAATGAAAGATTCAATATTGACGCTGAGGAAGACAGCTAAGGTGTACGACGTGCTCTGCCTTAAACCTTCAGCAGCGTTGGAACATGAAAACTCGTGGGATGAGGGAGCGTGCCAAGCTCCATCGACAGCGCAGAAGGAGTTCGAGGATGACATCATGATTCTGTGAAAGCACAGGAACCAGAAGCTATGGTGGTGATGACAGCAGTTTCCTATGAACATCACCTAATGCTGTGCCACTATACTGTGCATACGATGACACTCTGAAGGCTGCTGGGATCATAACAGCAGTAAGACAACTGAACCCTGCACCCTTTCCACAGAGGTGTTTCTCTGCAGAGCGTGGACAATGAAGGAGTCATAAATATCCCCTCGCAGGATGAAGGCCTGAAGTGAGGTGATGGGAGGCCATAAAACTAGAGTGCTGAGAGGTCTGCAGCTTTGGAAATAGCTGAGACCCATGTTGACAAACAACAAAACTAACTGGTATGTTTGAATGTTTATTCTACATACATTTGGACTCTGGTCCTATGGACAACGAAACAACTAGAAGAGACATTCATGACGCCCTGCAGAACTCAAACCACTCTGCAGAGAGACATGTGATTTGCACACCCGGAGGAAGCATCACCAAGCTGAGATGTTTTTGAAAATGTTACTTTCTTAGTTTCACTATTAAATTAACAATTTCTTTGGTTGCTCGTAAGATGCAGTTTGCCATGAGATGAGCTCAATGAATGGGGTAACTGCTAATACATTTGTTAAACTGTGTAACTTTTACAGTAATTTAGGGTGATTTGACATATGCTGAGTATAAAAATGTTTGCATTGAAACTGTCAGACATGAGGTATTCATACCTGGGAACTTTCTAGCATAAAGGTCAAAAACGGGGGAATGTTAGAGTTTGTATTGTTGATTGTCATTTATGCTTAGAAATATTTAACCATAGATGCTTAGAGGTGTATAATCAATTGTGTAGTGATAAGTTGTGTGATCTTTAACAGGCTACAGAGGCTTGGTGTGCATTCCACACTAGAATGCACACCTACATCCTGGGAGCACGGGAAGAGGTCGCATCTTGTCTTAATTGTTTTATGGTAGGATTAACGTAGCTACGTCTGTTCTAGTCTAAGTGCTTTTCTGTTTAGATGAACTGCTGGACTTCCTCACCGGAGGGGGTCTAGTCTACCCTCTTCCTGACCAAGGATGTTTGACCCTTTGATCAGCAACACACACACACACACACACACACACACACACACACACACACACACACACACACACACACACAGGCAAGGTACTCTTTGTTTGTATGTAGACGTCGGTATGTTAATGAACCTATGCATATTCATGTAACCTCAATAAAAGGACAGTGTTACGGGAGGACGGACGAGAGCTACTGGGGCCAAGCGAAGGGACGGCGCTCTGTCCAGTCTCTCCCGTGCACGAGTACCATGAAGAACTTTGCCTATTTGTGTCTTGCTTAGCAGTGTAATTATATTGTCTTAACGTTCTAGCGAATAGGTTTATGCTACAAACCTATCAGCCAGCTCTAAAAGTAATTTGGTATGGCGGGCCAAATGTAATTAGTCTGCGGGCCAAATTTGGCCCGCGGGCCAGAGTTTGACACCTATGCACTAGTCTATCCCGTCTGTAACAACCAAAAATAAAATAAAATAAATACATAATAATAATAAAGGTCAATCAATGGACCAATATGGCAAGGCCATGATGATCCACTTGGTGAAGTAAACTGTAAACTGTTTGGCATCTTTCTTGGCCTTCAGACAACAATTCTGATGGCTGAAGATCCAAACGGGACACACACAAAAAAGAAATCCTCTGCCAAACCTCTGCACAGGCACACAACACCATATAGCATGCATGTAGTGCTCAACAAAATTGCCTGTACAGTGGATGCATATATTTGAGTCTGCAAGACCTATTTAGAGCACCCTCTTTCCTGTATAGTGTATTCTGTGGAGACAGGCAGAGAGTGAAATATGAGTAAAACAACCAAAATGATGTGGAGTAAAGTGTTGACAGCTGACTGTTGCCGAGGGCGACCGTGGCTCAGGGGGTTGGGACCGGAAGGTTGCCGGTTCGATCCCCGGGCTCTCTGTCCTGGTCGTTGTGTCCTTGGGCAAGACACTTCACCCTACTGGTGTTGGCCAGAGGGGCCGATGGCGCGATATGGCAGCCTCGCTTCTGTCAGTCTGCCCCAGGGCAGCTGTGGCTACAACTGTAGCTGCCTCCACCAGTGTTTGAATGTGAGAGTGAATGAATAGTGGCATTGTAAAGCGCTTTGGGTGCCTTGAAAAGCGCTATATAAATCCAATCCATTATTATTATTATTAAATGAAACCTACTTACACAACAAGTACAGACATAAGGTATCAATTCATGACAGTCATGTAAGACTGTTAAAACTTAAATCTTCATTTGTTGTTTACTACATATCCTTATAGCAGCAGCTAAGAGGAGAAACTTGATAGCAATGGTGTCTTGGTCCGGGTGAGTACGGGGTTTTTCCACTCCGCTGGGCTCCACCTTCAGGCAGAGACTCCAATCAGCTTCCACACCTGGTTCCAATCAAGTCACCAGCATATAAGACCAGCATTCACAACAGACCTCTGCCAGATCTTCTGCTAACTCATGTTAGTGCTAGGCTGCCAAGCCCTTAACTACTGCTTTTCTCCTCACCGTGTTTTCTTTGTCATAAGACCCACCTGGCAGTCGCGTTTTCCAACCTAAACTACTCACATCTCTGCCTGGACGCTGGTTCTGTCATCTGGTTGCTTCCTTTCCATCATCGGACAACACCTGCCTGCCTCCCTGCCAAGCCCCTCACTCCAAGCATATTCTGGATCCTCTCTGGACACTCCTCACCCGGAACCCCTTGGACACCCCCTCCTCGCATGACACTTTAACCTGCAACGCGTAAGCCCTAACCACCATAGTCTAATTGTTCAGCTGTGATTCACTAGATTGCCACTGACTACTTGTCTCCTCTTATTATAGTGACTGCGTACCTCCATCCAAGCCGCTGCCCCTTTTTTCCATTCCCAGGATCCATCCGTGAAATCTAGCACCTAGTCATAGCACTCAGAGTTTCATGTTCACAGTTTGGCCTCACAGTTCTCCGTTCATAGCATTCATAGTTTCCTGCTTTGTAAGTTCACTAGGCACTGTAAATAAAGCACTGTGTTCACGCCCGTTTTGCCTCCCTCTGTGTCTGCATTTGAGTCCACACCCACAGCCTGGCCCTCTCGGCCCTAACAAATGGCAAATCACAGTCTGTTCACTCGGCTTAAAATCATCCCGTTTTACACATCACTGCTTTATTGTGGGAGAGTTTGGAGATGCCGTCGGATTAAAACTTGCCCTTCCTCTTCTTCTGGGCCTTTCTTTTTGAGTTGGAGTCGACGATTAGCTGAGATTGACGCTTCAGTGCCTCACGAGAGATGACGTGAGCCCAGTCCTTGTCACTCTTGTCCTCTGGAACACAATTAAGTAATCAGCAATTTCAATGTAATTTAGTCTGTAGTCGTAGCTGGTAGTGTGTAGAAGAACACCAAATTACCATCACTGTAGGGATCTTCTGCTTGATCCTCAGGTGGCTTGACTTGGGTGCTGTGTTTCCCCTCAATCCTGACGTAGAACTCATAGCAGAAAAAACAGGAAGGGTTAGGCTTAGTGTTAATCAGTGTCATTGGCAGACTGTGTGTTTGTATGCTCTGTGTTATATTCTCAAACAGAGAAGGTGTTGCTGAGTGTTAATGATCATCTACACACATGTTTTACTGCCTTTCTCTTAATGGGGAGCCCATGGACAAACTTAAACAAAAGCCTTGACTGAATTTCCAAATGTCAAACATGTTGTTTCAGACTCAGATGATCCATTTCAAGTTTTGAGTTTGTAGGCTTTTGTCTTACCTCCTTTTCTTCCATCTCCTTCATTATAGCTGCCACATCCATCCCCTCAAGCTCTTTCTGCAGGGACTCCAATTTCTGCTCACACTGGGCCATCAGCTTCAGCACCACAAAGTCCTCTGAGTCTGGATGCATGTTGGGAACTGTGTGCTCATCCTGGGAGATGATGCGTGAAAAAAGGAACAAAAGCACATGAAGACTGTGGAGCTCCAGCAGGGCAGTTCTCTCTCTGGGGGGCATTTCCTTTGAAGGTAACACTCTTAAAAACGTACCTTGAGATGGAGGTTTACCTTGATTACACACGCATTATATAGGGAGCAGGTAATGATGATACAAACTGATTTGTAAATAAGGGGACATGAATGACTTGAGCTTAGTATTTAATAATATACTACGGTATACTTCGAACTAACTCGGCAGCTCACTCTCCTGACAACACATCCTTTAAAGATATTTCAACATGAGAGACAGGCTAATGTGAAAGGTAAAAGTGAGGTCACAGGTCAAATGCAAACTATAATGTGATATCCCTATATATCATTGTTGTCAATACAATCAGTGGCCATAGCATTAGTATCACTTTATCTCTTGACCTTCAAGGACAGGTCAGATGTGACATTTTTACCTTCTCTATATGGTGACAACACACAGCACACCTGTAAGAATCCGTTTCTATGTTCAATCAATGTTGCCCCAGTAAATGGAGAAGTTTACGTTGAAGACCTCATCAACATCAGGAATCCTAATAGACTATGGTTGTTTCTACCAGTGAGATGTGCTGAAGATGGTCTGCCAGGTGCTCAACTCCGTGACGGACGGGACCGAGGGTTTTCACAAGCCGATCCAGTCGCTCTTCGGCTTCATCGCACCTCTGCTGCTCAGCCTGCAGCTGCTGCTCACGCTCCTGCAGCATCTGCTGGTGGCTAGAAAAGCACACAGAAAGAGCAGAGGTTTCAGAATAAGAATTAGACACTCGTGTGATCCTCTGAGTCCCATTCACACCAACAGAGAGTCCATGTGATTCACAAACACTGTGACAGCTGCTGCATGACAGAGTTAAATATGTGTCTGACCTGGAGAGTTTAGCCTCCCCAGAATATTTAATCTCTTCAGACTGTTGCTCCAGAAGCTCCTTCTGCTCCTTCAGCTGCAGCAGGACCTCCTCGTTCTCCTCCCGCCGCCTCTCCAGATGTCGACGTGTCTCCTTCTGAGAAGTAAAGTGCTCCTCTAATTCCTACAAACACAAAATGCATGAAAGGAAAACGCATATCAGGAAGCACGCTGTGTGTAGCAGAATGAGCGGAAACCTTTGCACCTGTATATCGGTGATCCCTGTGGCCTCTTTGATGCGTCTGAAGGCCTCCTCAGCAGTCGAAATGTCTTTCTCCTCTTCAGCCAGCATCCTGGTGGTGCTGTGCTGGACCTCACTGCTTAGTTCATCCAGCTGCACAGCTGCTCGCTGTACCTGCACGATGCAACAGCAACCACTGCACATGTCAGGGACCTGGTTTCACTTTACTCCTCCACTTGGGGCAGGAACTCGTCCCTGACCCAGAGCGGGCATTCCACGTTTTTCCGTTCAGCACTGTAGCAGTCACAATTATTACCAAGAAAAATGCCCGACACATTTATTTTCCCAAGTGGATCATTACAGCTTTGCCATGCTGGTCCACTTGATTGATCTTTGTTATTTGTTTATTTTTATTACTTTTTTTACTCTTAAGTTATTACAATCGGTACAGACATGACTGGGGGACAGGAAAGACAAAGATGTGGACAAGAGAAGTCTGTCTTTGCCCTCACCTCACATCGTTCTACCATTGGAGAGACTGATGATGTCACCAAACATCTGTGTCACTAACATCAATGTGATTGGCCTGCTGTGCTGGAGTGAGCAGGAAGGTACTTCTTTATATCTTTGCTCTTTTATTTGTTACTCAACATTCATCTACAAAAACTGAGTACATTAAATGTCTCTCACCCTTCTCTCAACTTTTGCAGCCTGGGCCTTGTGCTCATCAACCTTTTTCCTGTAGCTTGCTATCACTTGGTCCTCTCCTTACACTCCTTGTGAAGCAGCTCCTCCTGCTGCTGCAACTCAGCCTGCGAAGCAGAAGAAGATGTAGGCTGATGGTGGCGAGTTGTGAGATACAGTGACTCCTTCATTTATGACTCTGGCAAATCAGCTGGATAATGTGAGCGATGCTGAGTGTTTCTTAATCTGAAGTCACAGCAAAGGAAATTACAGGTCACCTTAGCAGCTTCTTTGGAGAGCTGGCTGTCAGTATTCACGACCTGCAGACTGCGAAGCTCCTCTCTGTGCTTCAGGATTTCTGCTTGCAGAGTGTCGAGCTGGCTCTGATACGCCAGACTCTCATCCTGAAGGTGGTAAAGTGAGAGAAATGCAGGCAGAAGCACAAATAATGCAAAGCGATCAACAAATTAACATCACATCAATGCATATGTTGCGCTCTAAAAGTACTTATAAAACTTCAATTTTTCTGAATTGTGGGGAAAATCTTTAAAGACCATTCTTATTTAATTGTGTTTTGTTTTTGGACACATTTCTAGTTAATTTTTGTAGTTTACTGGCTCCAGGAGGTCAGAGTTCAGATGTGTGATGTCATCAGTAAGCGCAGAAAAAAAAAACCAGTGTCTGAGACGTGAGGGAGCGATGTTTTGCTGATGATACGCTATTCTGCCTGTAAACTCCAAACCTGAACTGAGGAGAATAAAGTTGCAAGAAAAAGGAGAACGGAGTCATGTCTCTCTGAGGGTGCAACATAATCTTGGTGTTTCCGCCCGGTTTGGAGTTTATACCGCAAAGAAGGACGAGCTACATGTGACTAGCCTCGCTCACTACCCCCCCACCTGAACTCATACGGCAGTGCCATCCCTCCAAGAAAAGGCAGTGAAGGTAAAAGTTTTTCGTCATGTCTAAAGTACAGCAGATGTCTCCTGATTGGGAGCAACTTCTTGAGGAGACAGAGGAAAAGTTACTTACACTGCTAGCACCGGATTTGAATGAGATTTGTGCTGCCCTCAGTTTAGCCGTGGATGAAAGTGAAAAAGACTTACCTCGTAAACTGAGGCGGCGTATTCTCCAGTACTTAGAGGGAGAGGATGTTACTGCACGAGAAGATGAAGGAATGTCTCTGTTGTTGGAATTAGATGACAAAATTTATGAAGTGAAGCAAAAGAGATGCGAAAGTAATGCCCCGTTGCCTCAACAAGTGGTACAAGAGCACCACCCTGTGGCTGAAAATGTGATAGCACCCAGTAATTCAGACGAGCAGAGAGAAAGTGTTTCTCATCTGAATGCTACACGAGTCACCCCTGTCGCCACTCAAAGTGTCCCTTTTGTACACCCACTGTACCGACGGGATCTGAAAATAATGGGACAAATTGGAGAACCAAACCAAAAGGACAAATTAACATGCACTAGCTTGGAAAGACAAATCCAGAGGGCATTGAAGAGGGGATATGATGAAGGAGACATTGTTGAAGCCATCATTCAAGCTATAGCCCAGGAACAAAACTGAAAAGCTACCTTGAGAGTAGAGTAGATTTGACTTTGCAAGCTCTCAGGCAAATATTACGGACTCATTACATTGAGAAAGATGCCACAGAGTTGTATCACTCGCTCACACGTGCTGTACAGGAGCCAAAAGAAACTCCAATCCAGTTTTTGATGCGAGCAATGGATTTGAGACAACAACTTGTTCTTGCTTCAGAGAGAGTTAAGTCTGGTTTAAAGTACAGTTCGGAGCTCATCCAAAATCAGTTTCTCCAGACAGTACTCACTGGCCTCCATGATGACACCATCCGAGCTGATGTGAAGCTATACCTGCAAAATCCTAAAATCACAGATGAGGTTCTTCTGGAAAAAATGACTGCGGCATACAGTCTGGAAATGGAAAGAAAGAATAAGCTGTCAGCTGCATCAAGAGCAAAGATGATCAAAGTTGCAGCAGTAAGTGGGGAAGATCAAGAGGTGGAAAAAGAAAGCAGTATGCACACATCAGACAGTAAGAACAAGCAAGGTGGAGCGGTCAAACGAGACACATTAATGGATAAAGTTGATCAAAGCAACAAGGCTATATGTGAGGCTCTGCAGAACCTCACCACTCACATTGCCAGCCTCCAGCAGACCGTTAAGCCTCAGCACATGAGAATGGTCGAACCACCTGACCGGAAATACCAGTCACAGCCTAGGAGCACAAACGTTAGACAGTGCCAGCAGTGTCAATCATCTAATACAGGAAACAAATGTGACCACTGTTACAAATGTGGCAGTACGGAACACTGGGCAGCAGGTTGTCGTAGGAAAAAGTGCTCAGCTAATTCAAGTAAGATCGAAATCATACTTAACCCTGAAGGGGAGAAGCACCAAACCGACCCATTCAGCCTCAAAGCACCCCTCACTGGTAAACAACAACAAATGGCGAAGCTGGTAGGCAAAAGATGCCAGGTCCGTGGCTTCTTAGGAGGTGTGGACACCACAATATTGTGGGACACCGGCTCACAAGTATCGATAGTGGGGACGAACTGGAGAAAGAAACACCTGCCTGATGCTGAAATGAGGTCAGTGGAAGAGCTGCTCGAAGAGGGAGCTTTAGAGCTCTCAGCTGCTAATGGGACCAGTATTCCATATGAAGGATGGATAGAGACTGAGTTCAGCCTGTCCAAAAATGCTGTTGCTGGGATGAGCAACAGGCCCGTCCAAGTTCCAATCCTAGTCGCCAGCGGTGACATTGAATGCCCCATCATCGGCTTTAATGTGATAGAAGAATTAGCTTTGAGAAATGACACCAGCAAAGACTGTATCCCCCCAGGGCATATGCTGGACAGATTGTGCTCAGCATTCGAGGTGGGGCGCAAAACTGCAAGAGCTGTCCTGTCTGTCCTAAAGAAACAAACGCCTGACAGCCATCCCCACATAGCCCGAGTAGGAAGGCGACCTGTGACCATCCCGAAGCGTAACATGATGACAGTGCAATGTGGTTGGCTAAATAAGAGTGTGTTGAGTGGGTCACATGCAGTGTTGGAGCCGAACTGTGAGACACCATGACCAGCAGGCCTAGTTGTTGCAGTGACTGTGGAAAACATGACTGACCATGATATCACCCTCTGTAGTCGCACTACACTGGGGTGGCTGCACAATGTTGATGCTATCTACATGCCACATGTAAAATGTATGGAGGGTGAGCTTTCTAAGACATCAGACGGAAGTACTTCCTTACCCACAGTGCAGTCCAGTCAGACAACAAAAACTGAGCCCTGGGACCCACCAGTGGATTTGAGCCATCTGACAAGTGACCAACAGCAGCAGGTAAAACAGATGCTGAGGGAGGAATGCAATGTTTTTGCAAAAGATGACTGGGACACGGGATGCATTAAAGATCTAGAGCTGGAGATACAGCTAAAAGACAAAGTGCCTGTGCAAAAGACATATACCGTATTTTCACGACCATAAGACGCACTGTACTAAAAGGCACAGTCTCAGTTATGTGTGCCATTACTGTATTTAACACACACATAAGGCGCACTGGACCATAGGGCGCATACAAGTACCGTATGCGTATTTAAAAATAAAGCGGGAGCAAACCTGAGTTCGGTACCTTACTCACATTTCTATTGCCGGTAATCGTCATCATCAACAACACACAAGCATACAAGTGTGCGTATTTAAAAATAAAGCAGGAGCAAAACAAAGTTTGGTACTCACATTTTTATCATCAATCAAACCCATGGAAGTCCTCATCCTCTGTGTCTGAATTGAACAGCTGCGCTAAATCTCCATCAAACATGCCAAGTTCACTTTCTTCACTGTCAGAGTCACTTTCCGTGCCGTGCGGCTCCTCGGAAATGATGCCGGCTTTTGCGAAAGCTCGAACAACAGTGCCAGCAGACATGTTAGCCCAAGCATCTACAATCCATTGGCAAATTGTGGCGTAACTCGCCCGGCGCTGCCTTCCACTCTTGGTGAAACTGTGGTCTCCACCGGTCATCCATCGCTCCCACGCCGCTCGCAGCCTTACTTTGAACGGGCGGTTCACACCGATGTCCAGCGGTTGGAGTTCCTTTGTCAGGCCTCCCGGAATGACAGCAAGCTCACAGTTCATTTGTTTCACTAGTTTTTCACATCAGCTGTGAGATGGCACGCATAGAGTCACAGATCAACAGCGATGGTGATGCGTGGAAAAAACCACCTGGTCTCCTTACATACACCTCCCTCAGCCACTCTTTCATCATTTCCTCATCCATCCAGCCCTTTTCATTTGCCTTAATGATGATTCCTGCTGGAAACTTCTCTTTAGGCAAAGTCTTTCGCTTAAAAATCACCATAGGCGGCAGTTTCTGTCCATTAGCATGGCAGCCAAGCACAACAGTAAAAGAAGACTTTTCATACCCCGTTGTGCGTATCGCTACCGTGCTGGTCCCCTTCTTCTCCACAGTGTGACTCACCGGGATGTCAAAAGTGAGCGGGACCTCGTCCATGTTTGTGATGTGGCTGGGCTGGATGTTTTTGTCGCTGATGTGTTTGCTGCAGTAGGAGCGGAAGATGGCCAGCTTTTCCTTATAATCCGCTGGAAGTTGCTGCGCTACCGTAGTCCTGGTCCGGATGGAAAAATGGCACCGTTTCATAAAATGAAAGCACCAAGACGGACCTCCTTGGAAATGTTCAATGTTCATCTCTTCAGCTAGTGAAACTGCTTTTAGCCGAATGGTGACCGTCGAAACGCTTCTCCCGCTCCTTCTTTGCTCGATGATCCACCGCTCGAGTCTCGGGCCACCTCGCCTTATGTCCGCGGAAACTCAGCTGCGTTTTCTTGACCTGCCGGAGCTTGTTTTCTAGCTTCCTCCATTTGCGAACCATCGATTCGTTAATCTTAAATTCTCTCGCCGCTGCTCGATTTCCATGTTCCTCCGCATAGCTGATGGCCTTCAGTTTAAACTGTGCTTCATAAGCGTGTCTCTTTGCCATTTTCAGGGTTGTTAAAACAACGATGTTCCACATAATGCACATACCTGTCCTTTTAGACAGGTATGTGCGATTGTCCGGTATATACGATCAACGCCCACACTTCACCCTTTAGCGTTCTCATGGTGTTCTCTACTACTTTACTTTACTACTTTTGTGATTATCTGTTTCATGCGCCTCATTTTACTGTGTACAGTGACAATAACCCGCTGACATACGTCATGAAGTCAGCGAAACTTAATGCAGCTGGACACCGCTGGGTGGCGGAGTTGGCAGATTATCGGTTCACTCTTAAGTACAGGCCAGGGGCAGCGAATCGAGATGCAGATTTCTTATCAAGAAGAGGAAAGCCCATTGAAGACATCATGCACGAATGCACAGAGGAATGTCAGCA